AGAGAGAGACAGAGCATGAACGGGGGAGGGGCAGAGAGAGAGGGAGACACAGAATTGGAAACAGGCTCCAGGCTCTGAGCCATCAGCCCAGAGCCTGACGCGGGGCTCGAACTCACGGACCGCGAGATCATGACCTGGCTGAAGTCGGACGCTTAACCGACTGCGCCACCCAGGCGCCCCTACATTTATTTATTTTTGAGAGAGAGAGAGACAGAGCATGAGGGGCAGAGAGAGAGGAAGATACAGAATTCGAAGCAGGCTGCAGGCTCCAAGCTGTCAGCACAGAGCCCGACGTGGGGCCCGAACTCACAAACCGCGAGATCATGACCTGAGCCAAAGTCAGACGCTCAAGTGACTGAGCCACCCAGGCGCCCCAAAAATAAATAAATTTTTTAAAATATAAATAAATAAATAAATAATAAAAAAGGGTAACAGTATGTAACCCAGTCTGAGTAGTGTACAATGTACATGAAGAATAGAAATTTCCATTAGGAAAGGGACCCTGGAAAACCTGACAGAGAACTAAGAAATATGGACTTCATTCAACAGGAAATGGTCAATGAAGTGTTTTAGCTACACAAGGACAATCACAGCTCCACTTTAAAATGACTTGAGAGCAGTGGTCAGAAATGTAAGACTCTTGCTTCTCTCTTTAGCAAGAGTCTTGACACAAAAGCAATAAAATAAATAATGTCAGGGGCGCCTGGCTGGCTCAGTTGCTAGAGCACCCGTCTCTTGATCTCAGGGTCGTTGAGTTCAACAGAGCATGGAGCCTACTTAAAATAAAAAGTTTATTTAAAAAAAATTCACCATCTAGATGTGAAGACTGACATATGAATAATTTCAGTATGATACAGAAAGCTTTAAGACAGGTATATGCACAGGATGATAGCGGAACCTAGAGGAAGAGAGAACGAATGGAGGGTAATGTTCATAAAGACCTAAAGAAAGCTTCACAAAAAGTCTGGGTAACACTCATAAATGCTGCAGAGAGTTTGAATAGAGTATGTAAAGCAAATTAATTCCTATTTTATTTTGTGATTATAGCTGCTATTCATAGGAAGTAGAATAATTTTATTCTTCAATCAAAACTGAAAGCTCTCGGGGGGCACCTGGGTGGCTCAGTAGGTTGAGCGTCCAACTTCAGCTCTGGTCATGATCTCACACTCTGTGAGTTTAAGCCCCACGTCGGGCTCTGTGCTGACAGCTCAGAGCCTGGAGCCACTTCAGATTCTGTGTCTCCTCCTCTCTCTGCCCCTCCCCTGCTCATGCTCTGTCTCTGTCTCAAAAATAAATTAAAAAACATTAAAAAATTAAAAAAAAAACAAAACTGAAAGCTTTCTGCATACATTAAGGCTCTAATATAAACCAGTAGTCCCTCTATTAGCCCTACATAAAAAGAAACCAGAAAAGCAACTAAACAAATAACATGATCATACTATCAAGATTCTAACTGCCCCACATTCCACCTCAACCCTTGTTTCAATCTCCTTAGGAAGCCCTAGAGGTCATCAGGGATAGTCTGTGAATGAACATATGCAGAGAGATACAACAGTGGAGTAATTAAAAACACAGTATTTGTAGGAAAAAAGAACTGGTTTGAACCCCAGCTCCACACATACCAGATGTGTATATCTGAAGGCCTTGCTTGCTTAACAATTAAAAAAAAATTTTTAATGTTTATTTATTTTGGCGGCGGGCGGGGGTGGGGGGGCGGTAGGGGCAGAGAGCAAGGAAGACACAGAATCTGAAGCAGATTCCAGGCTCGGAGCTGTCAGCACAGAGGCCCATGCAGGGCTCAAATCCATGAACCGGGAGATCAGGACCTGAGCCAAAGTTGGACGCTTAACTAAGCCACCCAGGCGCCCCTTTGCTTAACCATTTAAACTTCAATTTATTCATAAATGGAATATGAATGCCTTGGTAAGTTTTATAACAGAACTTAGATATAGTATTTATCATGCTTAGCACAGAACCTTGTACATAGTAAGCAATCAATAAATTATGCTGTTTTTTCATTATTATTGTTTTTGTTGTCATTGTTTTTTTGCTACTGTTTTTGGTGTGGTGGTGGGAGAAAGAGTCACGTAGACTGAAAAAATTTTAAAACTAAAAGCAATTTGAAACAATACCCTTCCTTGGGTACAAAAAGGTAATTAACATCCTCATCTCTCCTAAATAGAGGTATCACATAACTAGAAAGTAAAAATCTCTCTTTAGAAAATTACAATAGTATAAGGGTGCCTGGGTGGCTCATTTGGCTCAGGTCATGATCTTGCAGTTCATGAGTTTGAACTCTGCGTCAGACTTAGTGCTGACAGCCCAGAACATGGAGCCTGCTTCGGATCTGTGTCTCTCTCTCTGCCCTTTTCCTGCTTGCGCTCTCTCAAAAATAAATAAACATTAAAAAAAATCATTTTTTAAATTACAATAGTATACATCAAACCAATATACAGCTTATTTCTATGGGACAGAACTATAAGAAAAGTGTGTATTCTATAAATTTTTTACAATGATCATGACTTTGTATAAAAAATTTTTTTAATCTATTTGAAAATAATAAATAAATCTATCTCCATTTTTTTAAAAGACTGTTACATATAAATGCTGGTCTGCTGCCTCCTAGAAACTTGAGATTAGTGGACATTCAACAATCTCAACATGAGCTGTGAAATAATTTGAGTCAGATGAAGAGGATCTCCTGAATATCTTTTGTACATGTCCCTAAAACAAAGGGCAGGGCATATTAGA